CCTTAGCACTAACCTAACTTGGTAAGTTGGTAACCATTTTGAAATATATTAATAAAAATTCAAAATATACAGATACAAATTTATTGTAGGTTTATTTTCAATGCTAATTAACTTTATCATGTGTTGAGAATCAGATTACATTCCACCAAATCCAGTAAAATAATTAGAACTGTATGTGATACATGGATTTATGGAGAATTTTGAAACTTTTGAGAGATAAGAGCTTTTTGACTGAATCAGAATCAACTATTCTACATTAACTGAAATGTGGAAAACAGTTTTTAATTTGTAAATTTTGAGTGAAATGTGAATGAATCATAGAAAGCCTTAATTCCAAGCTATTTCCTCCTCAATCTCATCATATGACAAAGAATCAAAACAAAATTGACTGATTTTGACTGTGAATCCTGAAGTACCTTTTGTGTATAAACTGTCTATGTCTGTGACTATGAGAGGTTTTGTTGTACCAGAGTACATTTTCCTACTTAGCTCTATAGAGGGGGCTATCACATATTGTTTAAATTTTGAAAGGTTAAACAGTTACATACTGTGAAGTGAGATTGAGGTCATAAACTAACACCGCTAAATACTAATGGGGACATTTTTTACCACTTTTAAACTCAGTATTGAGTTATACATGTTATCTGAATAACTTATAGCATGTACAAACTTGTCATCATAGTGAGACTGCTCTTGTCAAGTGTGTGAGTGTGTCTGTACTTTTGAATAATCATGGTCTGACTTATAGCAACACTTGGAAGACAGATTACTTGGTACCATGGCTAATTCCTTTGATACTATCTCTATCTTGGCTTGTATTTTATACTAGCTGTTAACAATAGCATGTTGTAATCTAATATTCTAATCTTTAAGGTTTTCACTATATTATGTCTCAGACACTTCAACCTTTTCACCACCAGTTCCCTCTTTTCATCACAAATTTATAAAATAGTCCTGTTTATAGTCTGCACTTTCCTTAGAACGTTTGGACAAAAATAGACAAATATTTTGAGTAAAAACTGAAAATTTACTCAAATTTTGTCTGTTGGCTCCAAAATTAGGATTCTTTTCCAGAAATATTGAAGAATATAAGAAAAAAGTGCAAAAATTTTGGGCAAGAAATTCTAGTTGTAAAAAAGTTAAGATTTAGATGTTGTTGCATGACTACTCCTAAGTGACACACACATATTTCGTAGTATTGGTTTTTCCCACCCTACCATTGATGTGTATATTAAGGCCAAATGAATGCAGAATGCATAAATTGTATTGAACATGTTGAAATATTATGAAAAAACCTCCAAAAATTAAGTGTCATATCAGAGCCACAAATCATTATACAGTAATTTTTGTACTATTTCTGTACTATAAAAATGTAAATATGTATTTCAATAACAATACCAAGATGCATTTCATTTTAACAATACTATTGTACCATTTCAAGCAAATATGTCTTGTTCTATGTTACAGATACAAATGAATGTCAAATTAACAATGGTGGATGTCGGAATGGTGCAAGTTGCTGTAATACAATTGGCAGTTTCTATTGTAAATGTCCAGCTGGGTCTCAACTTGCATCTGATGGAAGAACTTGTGAAGGTGAGCTCTAATTGGCTAATTAGTGTCACATGATCTGTAATGGTTGTTGTACATTGGATGATTGAAGTACAAATCTTCCATCTGCATGCACTGCTGATATGATGTCATCGATTGTAACATGACCCTTATATGTCTGTATGTTGCTTGTTTCCTCCATAGATTCCAATGAATGTAACAATAATAATGGCGGATGTCAATCTACCTGCTTCAATACAGGGGGAGGACATCGTTGTGATTGTCCGGCAGGTCAACAACTTCATTCTGATGGAAGGTCCTGTGTTGGTAGGTAGAACATTATTAAAGTCTCATTCTGAAAATATGTATGTGGATAGAAGCATAGTTTATGCATAATTAATGAGATAATTTGCATATATTCTATATCTGATATCAGTTACAACATTATGTTACACCTGTTCATATATTATTTGAAAATATAAAAAAATCTATGCATAATTAATGAGATAATTTGCATATTCTATTCAGTTACTATTTAAAAACAAATTTAATCAAAGATATGATAAATATTTGAAAAAATAATGTGGAATTAATTTTTTGGGAAAGTAGATCTCATGCTACACTTACAGTAGTAACTGTTGATGATTAAAACCAACATATGGGAAATGTAAGTGTTCGATTCACAGGGAGGGGTGTAAAGGTTGATTTCATATTGCTTGCATCAAATTTGCAATAAGAAATGACACTAGATATGGGCATTAGTGAAAAGTTTGTACTTTTCCGAATTTTTCATTCAGAAACTTTGTAAGTCTTCATGGGGATGGGTAGTCGTTTGACTCACAAATAACTTCCCATATGTCATTTTTTTTCAATTACTGACATTGCCTGACTGTAATCATTTTACTAATTAGACCATGAAAAATAATTAGTTTTGGAGTTGACTGAATTGTTTAATTAGACTTTTTGGATCTTGACATGTTGAGGTACTAATATCTGTGTCTATTTAATGTCAGGTTGTTGAATTGAAATGGAAAAAAAAAATATTGTTTTGAATGAAATTAGGGGATCTGAGCAGTGACCAACTAAATAAATGATTACATCAGCTTATAATTAGCTTCTGGTCAGTGATTTCCACATGTACCTGTGATTAGATTATCAAATCTACTCAGAAACTGATGTCTGTTCATTAAAGTTGTAACTGTGTTTATAAATGTGATGTCATTACTATCATTTGATACTCTGTTACAAAGTTCTGCTAAAGTGACAGTTTTACTAAACAGTATATATTGAATAGACTCTGTGATCTGTCGGCAATAAATTTGCTACTATTTGATGTTTATTCTGTGAAAGTTGAAATACCTTCACGGAATCAGGCATAGAATTCTAGCACAAAACAAACTCAGTATCTCAATAGACATTCAGCCATGGATCGTGTGACAACAGTCGTCATCATATGCGTAATTCTGATGTTTTTTGGATGTTTTGTTGACAGTTTTCACTATGCTTTGAAGTTCAAGTCATATCTTTATTATCACAGGAAGATTTGTATGTATCTATGCCATTTTGAAAAACTGTAGTTCATGGATTTTTTTCAAAGCCCATGAAAATATCTTGAGAAATGAAGTCTTTGAGCTTTTATGGTTGAGCCATTGTTTTTTTTACTGAAATAACGTATATATATATTCCAAAATTCTCAAATTTACAAATTAATTATTAATAATAATTCTTATTTATCTCAGCCATTGATGGGTGCAGTATGAACAATGGTGGTTGTGAACAGCGTTGTATATCACATTATGGAGGGCGTTACAGTTGTCGTTGTGATCCTGGTTATAAACTGGCTGCTGATGGAAAATCATGTGATTGTAAGACTTATTTTCTATCCTTGTGATGCAGTCAAATATTTTCTCCAATTTTTGTCAGTACAACTCAGGAAACTGAAAAGCTTTCTGCATTCTTTTTAGATTGCGTTCTCTGTAATTTACAATGAATCGTTGTTTTCTTTGTGAGTTTATGTTTTTATTGTGTTCTTGGGTTCCTATGAACATAACATTTAAAAGCTATTTTGACTGATTAATGGAAATGTTTAATTATCAACTTTTTTCTT